CTTTCTACCCCAGAACTCCGTCATTGTCTGGTGCACCTGGGCGATGAACCGCTCGCGCACCACATGGGGCTCCAATGCGGACCAGTTCCGGCCCGAACGATGGCTAGTCGACGGTAAAGTCATCAACAAGAGCACCTCCGAGTTCCCAGTCTTCAATGGCGGGCCAAGGACTTGTTTGGGGAAGAAGATGGCTGAGATCATTGCCGTGCAAGTGATTGCGACCGTGGCTGGTTTGTTTGATTGCGTGAGAGTCGATGACTCGACGAGGGTCAGCAAGAGTAGCCTTACCTTGCCGATGAAGGACGGTCTTCCCTGTTTTATACGTCGTAGACCTGATGTCCAATTCTAACGATCATATTCCCGTTCTTAGAAATTCTCTGCTTTTGCCCTTTTAAATACTGAGTATTGAAGGCAACTTCGTTAAGTATGGGACAGGAGACTTGACGTTGCTCTCAACCTGTCATCGATGATGAGGAGGATTTACTCTTGCATTTCTTCAGACCCGATTAACAAAATTCTTGCAGGATGTCGTTCCCTCATCCATCGGGGTCCAGAAGAACAGATAGCATAGTTCAACAACAAAAATTGCAAAAGAAATAGCACAACCTGGTTTCGATCCAGGGACCTCTGGGTTATGAGCCCAGCGCTCTACCCCTGAGCTATTGTGCTGTGATGTGGGGCTGATTTCTGGCAAGATCGGGGCGGGTCAATCTACATCAATGCCTGCCTACTTCACGCAGCACGAGAGGTCCTTCAGCACCTTTGTCAAATCGCGCATCAATAGCAAAATTTCTCAAACATTGAGTATAAGTAGACTCTGGCTTTCAAGTGTATGAGCAATTCGAAGTATCTTTCCTATTTTTAGATTTTCCACTCATTGATCAACGTCAAGTTGGAGAAGTGCGTCACTTCATGTACGGTATCACCCACGCAGACAAAGCCTTGGGATTGTCTTTTACGAATGTGATTGCAAAGGCACTCAAGAGCCTTTTGAGTGCTAGAGTTTCATACGCCCTTTCAAGTCTTCTGTCAACTATCTGAACCACCAATTCACGGAGGCATTCAACCTCCCATCGTGATGTCCACTCTTGACACTATGCCACCAACCCTTCGGAATGAAGAGAGCATTTCCAGGGCTTAATTGGGCCTCTGTAATATCCTCATGGCTCTCTAACCCCCAGATAGCAGTATTCATTGCTACCCTCTCGCGGCCCTCCATCATTTCCGTCGATCTGATGCGACTACTCCCCGACTGCTGAAGCTGGGTCTGTACCTGACGATACAGCCGATCGCCAGATGACGGCGGTAGCAGGCGGACTGTTTTGCTGCCGAGAAGTTGACAGAATAAATTAGGGTTCGGATCGCGATGTAGAGGGGTATACGTCGGTTCCAGCCCAAGCCACAAGCTCGAATTGTATACGTCGCCTTTGCCGGCTTCCAAGACAAGGCGTGGGACAGGTAGGTCTTCCTGGAGTTCTAGGGGTAGGTCCGGAAGTTGAGCCTGGGCTATGTAAAGCTGCTTGATCTTCTTCTCGTGCAGGCTGTTGAATTCCACAACCTTGAGAAGGAGTTGCAGGGGAGCAACGAATGACGAGAACTTTGGCTCCGAGGCATCTGGGTGAGATGCTGCGTGGACAATGCCTGCTAGCACTGCACCCATGGGATCCGGATCAGACGCAAGCCATGCAAGAAACTGTGTAGTTGTGTTCACTAACACTCCAGAATCTTCGGCGATCTGAGGACTTATGAACTCGTATGGGAACATGTGGTGGGCGAATTGGTTCATATAGGGAGTGAATTTGGTGGTTGGGTTTTGGTTAGCGTCTTGAGTTTGGACGAACCATTTTGAAGATGCTGAGAAGGAACTCTGCTGAGCAGGGTTGGAGGACTGGCCGAATAGGAGAGGTTTTCCTGGTGTGAATGACGATCTTCGAAATTTTTCGATGTTGACTACCTCAAATGGAGATTTTGTAGCTTCTACCGAGTTTACTGTCGAAAACCCACGTCGAATTTGGGGGGCCCTGGATGAAGTGAGCGCGTGACAGCAGCCACGGGCAAGAAGCCTCATGTCTGCTAGCATCTATTGAAGGACCATAGTCTTAGAAAAGAAAAAGAGAACAACCGTTATTCTGTATGGTAAAACGAGTCATCAGCAAGCTAAGAAGGGCAGTGATGGGCAAGCAATTCGACTTGATTTGACATGGCTACGTACCCAGGCACAGACTGGAATGACGTCTCGGTGAACAGCAATGAAGCAATGGAAGCGAGAAGGAGCATCCTCACCGAGAAGATCGGCGAAGGGAACAACTGGAGGCCCGCTCACCGAAGTACCGATCGAGTGCGCACAGACCAGAACAGTGATTGGACGTAATCTCAGCGGGCTGGGCTTCGTGAGGCACCGCAGTCCACAGCCCACCCACCACAACTACAGCTTTTGCTGAGAGGCTCCAAATACCGCTTCTCTCCCCTGCCGTCAGAAAAAAGGACGGGGAAAGATTTCTCTGTATCGCAACTCGACTTTGCTCAGTGCACGGCATCCGACCGCTCGCGAAACCATTACTCGATCTTGCAACTTCCCCATCACCAACGTCGTCCTTCGCGCTCGACATGCGCCGCACTTGACCCGTCACGCCCACCAACTACCCCGCCACCTTTGCGCCCCTGCTGGGAGACTATCGATATCCAAAGCAGCTGTTCGGAGACCATCGCTGTCCTCCATCCGACGACTGTATCGCGCGTGCTTGCCCGCGTCGCAACCCAACCCATTTTTAAACGACACCCCGTCAATACCATCACCTTGGATTACCTCGACGACATGTCCACCTCTTCGGGGGCCCCGGAGTCTTGGATATCTTCCTTTTGCTCTCTCCTCGGCCATGAATACTTCGCTGAGGTTTCTGAGGAGTTCATCGAGGATGACTTCAACCTCACTGGCCTGCAGAACCAGGTCGCGATGTACAAGGAGGCACTCGAGGTACGCACGCATTTTTTTTTTCCATGTTGAATATTCTTTCCTTCTTTTTTCTTTTGGCGATTGGGAGCTCAAGCGACCCTTTCAGCCCCCAGGCTGCGCGATAGACGTCAATGCTGATTTGACCTGCATAGATGATCCTTGATGTGGAGCCTGAAGAGGACGAGGATGAAGAGGAGGAGGAAGATGAAGACGAAGATGAGAACGATTCGGGAGATCAAGACCGACTCGGCCCTAGACACGACCGGAGACAACATAGCCGCATGGCTAGCGACCTAAGCGTTATCGAGTCTTCGTCCGAGATGCTTTACGGCCTTATCCATCAGCGATTCATCTGCTCGAGGGCGGGTATTCAACAGATGAGCGAGAAGTACGAGTTGGGCCATTTCGGCTGCTGCCCCCGCACCAACTGCGACCAAGCGAGAACACTCCCCGTCGGTCTCTCTGATATTCCCGGCGAAGACACCGTGAAGCTGTTTTGCCCCTCCTGCCTCGACGTCTACGTTCCTCCCAACAGCCGTTTCCAGACCGTCGACGGTGCCTTCTTTGGCCGTACCTTTGGCGCCCTCTTCCTCCTCACTTTCCCGGAATACGACCTCACTAAGCGTGGGGCCGAGGTTCTCAGCAGCGGCGGCGCCCGCATTAACGATGATTCACTCGAGATGATCAATGGCATGTACGCCAAGAACATTGCACCGGGCTTGGGTGCTGGACGTATATATGAGCCCCGTATCTACGGCTTCCGCGTCTCTGAAATTGCAAAGTCAGGCCCTCGGATGCAGTGGTTGAGGGACAGGCCGGATAGCATGACCGAGCTGGACGAGGCGCGTCTTTACGCGGATGAACATCCCGATTCAGACGAGGACGAGGAGAACATGAACGGCAACGGCCGGCCTACGCCCCGTCGCCGTGCTCCTGGTAATGCGCGCCTGCGTGCAACGCAGCGACAGGCGCAGAATGGCAGTCCGATGGTTGTGGAGACGAACGGCGCAGAGTCGGAGCTTTAAGACTTGGTTTGGAAAATGATTCGTACTTACGGGCCCGGTAGTCCTCCGGGGTTGGTTGGGCGGCAGGTGTGACGCCGCGCCAGGATGGAGGCAACAGGCCAGCGAGAGAAAGATGTCGGTGCAGATCGAGCGAGACGGTCAATACGGCTGCTCTGCATAAGGTAGATGGCGTTTAGGAGGCACATCCCGATCTCCGTTGATGAAAGAGGCACGGCGTTGCTAAGGGAGACGCATTACTGAAGTAAAGAACTCATGCCGTTACACGAACTCTGATTTCAACTCTTTTTGCAGGCAATGGTGCCTGTTGTATAGGCTTAATACGATGGCCATTGCATTTCTGGGCCTCGGGACACAGAATATAGACTGCATGCAATTCGACGGTCAAAAATAAGGATTCTTCATCTCGCTCTCGTTGCGATGCAAAGAGACGATGCCTCTAGACAACGGCTCGGCGGCAGATCCCCTTGTAGGTAACGATGGCCCACGTGGAAACCATTTCTTTCCCCATGGGGTCAGCATCCCGATGTCGACGCTGCGTCTTTCTTTGCCCTACATACTAGTAGCGTTCACTGGCCTGATATTCTGGATTCCACCCCGCCCCTCCTCCCACCTGGTCACTCTCCTCCCGGCTGCATTTTTTCGGGGTCGCCCTCATGCTTAATGCCCCAGACGATCCTCCTAGACCCACAAACCCATACGGAATAGAGTTGATGAGAGGACTATACAACCCCGGGTGAATGCTAGACAAATCTGCCATCGAGCCTCTCTTCATTTACCCTATGCTTGGTATTTACCCGGATGATGTCACCCTGTATCAACAATGCGGGGACTCGGGCTAGGCTTGTTCGTTACTAGATATCCCGAACATGTTTAATGCGATTGCCGTGGCTCTCAATTTCGCCTATAAGTCGCCCATCTAGTCTCGAACATAACTGCTAGGTGACATATCTTAGAGAGAAGGGCATGCCATATGCATAATAGTGGACATGACGTTTCCACTTGGCACATTTGCCGTGTGGCTTATGAGTTTCACATCGGCACTGGGATCTAACTCGACCTTTTATAATCCAATAATCCCAGGATTCCATCCAGATCCTAGCTGTATTTTTGTCCCTGAGTGGAATGATACCTTTTTCTGCGCATCTTCTAGTTTCAATGCATTCCCCGGTATACCCCTTCATGCCAGTAAAGATTTGCAGAATTGGAAACTATTCGGTAAATTCCGATAACCTACGAGGATGACTATTTTGTTGACATAGTCTAGGGCATGTCTTGAACAGAAAAGAACAACTCCCTCGACTTATTGAGACAAATCGATCCACAAGGCAAGTCTCTCGGTGCACAAAGCCTACTGCGACTGACAGGGTTCAGTGGCATTTGGGCACCGACATTGCGTTACCACGATGGTACTTTTTGGCTTGTTACAACTCTCGTAGACGATGATAGAGACGCGGCAGATGCTTCGAGATGGGACAACGTATGATCTGCCCAACGTTCTACTCTTTGACGTATCTAATCTAACCCTCGGGTGCAAGATTATCTTCAAGGCACGAGATCCTTTCGATCCAGAATCTTGGACCGACGCGGTCCATTTCGAGTTTGAGGGATATGACACGGAGCCATTTTGGGACGATGATGGCAAGACATACATCAATGGCGCCCACGCATGGAAGATTGGGTATGTAGTTTTGAGAAGGGGACGACCCTTAAAAAAAGACAAAACCGCTGAAGCTACGATAGGCCGTGGATTCAACAGGCGGAGGCCGATCTCGATACTGGGGAAGTCGGCGAATGGAGGACCATCTGGAACGGCACAGGCGGCATGGTCTGCAGAACGTCCTTTGGAAAGCTTTGGCAGAGCTAACACGGTACTAGGCACCAGAGGGACCACACATCTACCGTAGAGATGGCTACTACTATCTACTGGCTGCTGAAGGTGAATTTAAACGAACAGCCTGTTGGTAGAGGAAGCTAACGGCAAGCCGAAAGGTGGCACTGGACTTGGCCATATGGTCACGATGGCACGTTCAAGGAGTGTTGGTGGCCCATACCAGTCAAACCCGTTGAATCCTGTTTTGACCAACGCCAATACAACCAATTATTGTTAGTAAGGCGCAAAGAGTGCCCTTTACCTAAATTGGCTTTGTAGGTGAAGCTAATGGAGAGCAGTTCAAACTGTCGGACATGCCGATCTATTTCAAGATGCCTCTGGGAATTGGTAAGAAGCTATACTGTTGTATTTCAGGGGCTAATGAGAACCAGGTGGTGTGTCGCTTTAGCCACGAGATCAGGACCAGAATGGCTCAACTTTCCAATGGGCCGCGAGACGGTTATGACTTCGGCAACATGGAACCAAGGGGAATGGCCATACCTTACGCCCATCGAAGGGAAGATGAGTGGCTGGAAGATGCCGCCAGAAAATCTGGATCTTGAAGGCCATGGGTACGGAGTGCATTATGTTCTCTCCCCATCAGACTTCTGCTAACCAAGCTAGCCCACTGATCACACTGGGAGAAGTTGAAGGTGACGCTTTTGACTTTGCCCCGAATTCGACACTTCCAATTCACCTCACGTATTGGCGGTATCCAATCGAAAGCTCATACACGGTCTCACCGACGGAGAAGCCCAGCAGCTTACGTCTGACGCCCTCTAAACTCAACCTTACCGCTATCAACGGAAACTACGCGGGGCCCGAAGGGCAGACATTCATTGGAAGAAGACAGCAAGACACACTCTTCACGTACAGCGTCGAACTTGACTTTCAGCCAGCGGAGGAGGAGGAAGAGGCCGGCGTTACGGTGTTCCTTACACAGAACCATCACCTTGATCTAGGCGTTGTCTTACTGCCCGCGAGCGGGAGTACGCAGCCCTTCCCTGGCCAAAACTTGACGACGGGGGGAAACCCGACTGATCTCAAGCTTCAATTCCGGTTCCGAGCTATGTCGTATGTTCCTGTTCCTGCTGACATTGTGGCACCTGTACCGGAGGACTGGCTTGGTACAACACTCAGATTGGAGATTAAGGCGGTAAACACGACACATTACTCTTTCTCTGCTGGGCCGGCTGGGTCAGTTTCCCAGACCAGAATTCTTGTCTGTGCATCCAACGATGCGATTAGTTGGGGTTTCACAGGTAAGCTGCTTTGTTTTGCTGGACCAAGACTTCTGCTGATGGTTCAACAGGTGTCTTCCTCGGGGTCTATTCAAATAGCAACGGCGGGACTGGAAATACGCCTGCTTATATCTCAAACTGGGAATACACCCCCCAGGGGCAGTTCAGAGATTAGAAACCGCCAAGTAGATCGGATATTTGAAAGCTACAAGTGGTCCATGATAAAGCTACATAAGAAGCCTTTGTACTGGTCGGTACCAACAAACATCTTTCCAAACCCTCGTCCTCTTCTGTGAGCAAATGGGCGTATTCACGCCCAGATCTGCAAATCGCGTCCGTACATCGTATGCTTCACTCTGAAATATTATATCAATAACGGCAAGATGGCCGAGCGGTCTAAGGCGCTAGCTTCAGGTGCTAGTCAAGTAATTGGCGTGGGTTCGAATCCCACTCTTGTCATTAACTTTTGCTGATGAAGGTACCATCGAGTTATGATACGTCCTGGGGACTGAGAACATCATACCCGCCTAAACGTTCACGATGGTGTCTGGTCCGGGTGGCTGCAGTATCCCGTGCCAACCTTGGAGGAATGGCTGCTCTATTTTGGTCTATTCACTGCTCCGGATTCGAGAGTACATGGTGGTTCAGCATGACATTGTGCATATTGTTCTATAGCAGCCGTGAGCATCGCGGCTGTAAGACCTATCCATGGCACAGTCGCGCAGGAATCAATGCTACGCCCACATGCGAGTGAAATTGCAAGGGCGGCCACAGGTGCTGGTTGACAAAGAATATGTACTTTGCAGAGTCTGCCTACATCGCCAAGAAGAAGTCGCGAAAGACGAGATGAGAGCATCTGCAATACCCTTCATTCCAGGTCACACACATGTAACTTAGTCTCTCGCGGACAATGAGCAGTTGATCTTACGTCGGAGTCGTACCCGCGTCTTTTAAGCATCATCGCCCGTTTAAATCTCTCGGGACACGATGTAGGAAACATATCACAACATAGCAGGGCAGTATGCACAGACTGACGAAGAGCAATTCTCATAATCCATCTATATTGTTTTTACGTAGATGAACAAAGTAAACCCTTCCTACCTAGCAGCTTCATTGACCAAGTGAAGGTATAGGGATCTGATATTATCCAGGTTAGCTATTGCTCTCATGCTAACAAGTGCTTAATAAAAGTTTTGCTTCAAAGCTACATTCAGACTGTTGAGCTTGATATATTGAATCAACATAGTATATTCTGTTGGCCGTTCTTAATGGAAGAGTTGATCATCAAAGTAGCAACCCGCAATGGGGTCAAGTTTGTGAAGAAGAAATGAGATCAAATGCTTACCGAGCAGGGAAAATTCTGGGAGCAGATGTTGTGAGGTGAGTGAAAGTCTGAGGTAGAGCAATCGTGTCGCCAGAGGGCAGGATGCTCAGGAGATACCGTGAACGAATTGAGTACTGGAATACAGTTGACCATTGAGATTCTCAAGAAAGGTCGATACTCAGTTTGGTTCGTCCTTGATATCGAAATGAAGAAAGAATGCCGCGACTGAGAGAGAGACAGAAAAGATTTTTGTAGTCGAGATCTCGGCGGTGCACGGCCCATGCGGAACAGGCTCGCTTACTTCAGATGATGGAAACACTTGAGGTGAGCCTTAGGCAAATTGAGGCTCCCCACCAAGAAACGTTTAGCTGCATCTGTCCCTCGTGATAGGAATCACCCCGCCATTTATGCCAGTATCTGCTATGTCGCACTTGCACAATCGCATGCTGACGCTTGAAGCGGTTGCCCAGCAGGTTCCTTTTGTCAGAACCCCGCCATCAATATTGGGAACCCAAACCCAAAGGCCAGGTACTGCCCTATGCCTAAAACCTGGAAGTTGCCCGACAGGTGACGTTAGGTACCTGACCACAGTGACCAAGTGCCCAAGCACACAAGGTACCTTAGCCTCCCGCCTTCCATTGCGTGTGTGCTGTGCGCCGCGCCCCTGCCATTCAATTGTGTTAGTCCCCCCCTCTTTGCCCACCACCCCTCCTTCGTTGCTCAGCCTGGCGGCCGGCGAAAGCTCTCCTCCGACAAAAGTCTCGATCGCTTCAAATCCACCGTAAACAAACCGGCCCCTTCCTCCGACCCGAAACCTCCTCGTCTTCAACACACCTATTCCATTCCAAATCAGACAAAATGGCGAACAGTAAGTTAGATGTGCACTTAACCGCCCCCGTCACTGCTGTAGCTGTTGTCTTTGCGCGGGCGCTCGCTCTGTGTGCTGCCCCGCATCTCCATGATATTTCCGTCTTTTTTTGCACTTCATCGGACCAAGAAAACAGATAGATAGCTAACCGATGCCTTGTCGCAGACTTCGAGGAAATCGCAAGTAAGTGTTTCCATACTCGAAAGCCGAGATAGCCTAGCCCGCATCGCGATGCCGTTTGCTTGCCCTTCTTCGACACAGAACACACTGACGGCCTCCACAACGCAAACAGAGCAGTTCATCGAGTTCTACTACAACCAGTTCGACTCGGACCGCAAGGGACTTGCCAGCCTCTACGTAAGAACTCTACTGCTACATAGTCATCCGGGCATTCGTTGACAACAATAACAACAACAGCGGGAGCAGTCTATGCTGACTTTCGAGTCTGCTTCTTCCCTTGGCGTCAACTCCATCGTTGAGAAGCTCACCGTGTGTACTCCCAAAGAGAATGCGCAAATTCAATGCGCCGCCTGCAGTCCACTCACTGACCCCTTCACAATAGTCCCTTCCCTTCGAGAAGGTCAAGCACCAGGTCACCACCCTCGACTCCCAGCCCACCACCGATGGCGGCATTATCATCCTCGTCACTGGCCAGCTTCTGGTACGTATATGACATGCTCTGCGGCTGTTCCACCGTTGCAACTCTTATCTAACCAACGAAAAAACAGGTTGATGAGGAGCAGCGCCCCATGAACTACACTCAGGCTTTCCAGCTTCTGCGTGATCCCGCCTCTGGCAGCTACTTCGTCTTCAACGACATTTTCAAGCTTGTCTACGGTGCATAAATTCTCCACGGACTTTAGGAAAATACGATTTGATGAGGCCCAATATCTGATTTCGAGGGACCGGGTATGGCCGAGGGCAGGATAAAAGAATCTCTGTCTCCTCCGATTTCTCATTCCCATTAATCTGCGCCGGGTTGAGGCGAGCACGTTGGCAAGGATACCATTTCACGTTTCCAGGAATCCCAAGACGGCTCTGTTCATACATGGCTCTTTAGAGAACTGGGAAAATACCCCTATTATTATCACATGAACTCAAAAACCTATGACGCCCCTTGACATCTTTGTATGACTTTGTGGCCTTGATTTTGCCTGTCATTCCGTTTCCTGCGCCTCGCATAACTTTCAGTACAAGAATGAAAACCCAAAGAAGAAAATCAAACATCGCCCCTCACAGGCTAACTTGAGACAAGTGGTCACCGTATCTAGACGGTACCGTTGGTGTTACATCATCATCACATTTTCGTTCTTTGCACCCTCAACGGACCTGCATGTGGGCGTCTCCGCTGTCACGAAACACGAGCTGAGCGTGTTGACCGCGGACAATCTCCTCTTCCCCACCTCCGTTCTTGATAATGCCGTTCCGTGTGGCACCCGGGCCCATGGTTCCGAACCCTAGGTCGCGGATACGGCCACTCGCAATGTCGAAGATGCAGCCGTGAACGGTCATGCCCCGTTCTTTGATAGCCTCTTGAACGGTGAAGTTGGCCATGAGCACATTGACACCAGTCTCGACGTTCATCTCTGCGATACGGACAGCCTTGTGGTCCTCATTCTTGATGGCATCCAGCTCCTTTGCGTTTTGAGCGCGGACTGTCTTTAAGGGAGTGAGCCAAGTATCGAGCACGCCTCCTACGCGAGAGTCGCCCAGCGCCGCCTTGGCACCGCCGCAGGCTGAGTGACCGCAGAGCACGACGTGCTTGACCTTGAGGTGGGCAACGGCGTACTCGATGACGGCGGAAGTGTTGATGTCTGTGGGGGCTACGATGTTGGCGATGTTGCGGTGGACAAAGACGTCGCCGGGTTGGAGACCCAAGATTGTTGTCTCGGGAACACGAGAATCAGAGCACCCTAGCCACACTTTTGTGTCGACGTACGTTAGCATCAGATCAAGAAAGAAATGGACGCTGGTATTGCAGATGAACTTACGGATTGAAGGTGACTGCCCTGAGGCAAGGTTCTTGAAGAACGCAGGGTTCTGGTGTGATTTGTATCCAGCCCAAGCTTGGTTGGAGCTCAAGGCGTAAAGGAACTTGTTTTCTTTATCCATGACGATGGAACATTAGCATGATGTCTTGAAGCAGGTCTCTTTCCCTAAGGGTGGTGAGGTTGTCGGGTACTTACGGTCATGGAAAGCCATTGTGATCGAATGTACACTGATGCAGCCGGACTCAATGCAAGAGCAACGCTGCGGGGTATCTAGGTGAATTCGACTTGCGACTTGGTAGTTGGGAGGCCGGAATAGCTGATTCTAGTGTGCGAGGACGAAAATATTGCGTCTTGCTCCTGTGTCCGGATGCTGTGTGCAGGCAAACCTGGCTGAGACCTGCCCAGCTGTAAAGAGAGTAATGATATATGAGACCCTTGACTGACGCTCGTTCCGCTGCGAGGTAGACAAGCCGGGCCGGTCCACTACTGGAAAGGTGAAGTTGGTTTCTGACTGTACACACAGAGCACGGCAGACGTCAAAGTTGTCGGACTTCCTTGGCTACGAGGTAGGATGCCGGATCGATGTAGGTGGGAACACAAGGCCACAGAATCGAATGTAGGATACGTGACTTCAAGGTCCGGCCGACGGTATGCGAGTTGAGCTGGTTGGAGGAACTTTGGGAGTCTGAAATTCGAAGATGATGGTGGTGGTGGCCAACGCCGAATGCCGTAGTGTAACCTGGGGTTTTCTCACGGACTGGTCGTGCCACTTGGGTATAAGCAAGATGTATTGAGCTAGTGATGCGTGACGAGAACAGGCATATGCAAAGAGATTCCGAGCCTTCAGCGAAGAAAGCAAGGATGGTAACAGAGAGAGGGGAAAGACGATCGATCCAATGAGCTGAGTGAAAGGAGAGTGAGTGAAAGAGAGTGTGAGAGTGTGGTATGTGAAGGGCGGACCAACCTGTTCCAGAAAACTTGCGTTGAGATGAGCAGAGACTTGTGGTTGAGTTGGAGGGGGAGCGCCGAGGGAATGGTTGACCCAATGAGAGATGGTGTTGTTGAGACAATGTAAATGAGCTTCAAGGTCAAGCTAAGCTGAGAAAATGGCAGTATCAGACAACGTTGTGGGCAAGCAGAATATACTCGAGATCCTGCAGTAGACTACATGCAGATATCATAAGATGTAAGGCCATGAGCACGCGGGGGGGCGAGACATGGAGGATAATATAAGTAGTATGGCGATGCATACTTGAGCGCTACCATACATAGAGTCGATGCATGAGACGAGAGCAGAGAGACACAGACAGACGGAACACCCCCCGGGTACCACCCGCAATCCTCTTGGCCGGGACCATGACCGTAACCATTTGGTGGAGAGCTCTCCGCACTTGGAGACAGAGCCAAACACAGATCCAAACAGAGCCAAGACTTTCAGACGAGTCGCCCCAGAGGATTGACGGTGCCACACCCCGGGCATCACCAGGGACGAGTACACACGGCAGAAGACAGAAATAGGGTGGGGGGAAGGGGAGATGGGAGACGGGAGAGAAAGACGGAGGGAAACTTGGGAAGAAGACGCCATACCCCGGTCACGTCTTTGCGATGCGCACTATTTCGGGGTTGTGACCTGTGACTTGGGACGTTTGCGCTATGCCTCCGGCTAACCCACCACCCTGGGGCGGTGCGGTGTCCGCATGGTAATGGAAAGCTTGGCCAGTGCTCACGGCATATATCCTGGCTATTATATTCTCATGGACGGTTGTGCAGAACAGAAATGGACCGAATCCAATCGATTGAAAACGCTGGCGAGGGCGCGCAGTGTATTATTGTCTCCGGCCACCGGGTGGGGGCTGAAGGACCGTCTCCGTGCGATGGTCATTCAGGCCCGGCCATCTCCGTCAGTCGGGCACTTATCTCCGTTCCAGCCCACTTGGGTCATGTAGAATCTAACCGAGCCGCTGACAAGTTGAACTGACTGTTTGACAGACAAGGGCAGTGCCATATTGAACCTTCCGTCTCTAATGCGCGGCCGTGGAGTATGATCCATGCTCTCTGTCCTTTGGTCACTGGGCAATAGCGAAGCCATGGGAAAACAGTTGAACCAAGGGCGATTCCCGGCTGTGAAACAGTGCTTGTCAGTGTCATCCCTCGCAACACTGGCGTAAAGGCAAGGCATCCTTCGTAATCCCTTCCCTCGTTGATCTCCATGGTGTGATCGACGGTGATCTGACAGATTGAGTTCATGTCGCTATCTCAATCATAATGCAGACTGCACTGTTCACCAATGAGGAGCAGTGTCGAGACTCGGAATTGTTGACCAGTTGTCCATCAATCCACGAGGAAACTCTTGGTTGACAGGAAGAACGAAGAACCAGTGAAAAAGAGAAATGCAACCAAGCTTTCTGGAAGAGGAGAACAGCGTTTGGTGGTTGCTTACTAACCTAAAGCAGTTTAGCCGACCATTGTAAGCTCACATTCAATGTCTGCGTGGCAGCGTGATAGTTGCCGGGCGGGCACTTCCTCATGTTTCCCTCTTCCTTTCATAGGCTTGCTCACCTTTTTTACACCCCACACAGATTATAAACCGCCGGGGAAATGGCCCGGTCGTATGAAGAGACAAAAGACAACCTGACCTATGCAGAGTTGTAAATAGGCTGAGCACGTCCAAAGCTCGGGTCGCACTCGCAATCGTGCCCTTTGGATGGACAGGGACGTCTCTGTGCCAGAAGTAGAAGCATATGGGTACACGAATGCCAAGAAAACCAGACTGTTTTCGATATTTGCGGCCACGGCGACTTTGGAGTCTGAGGGGACAAAAAAGGGGAGGGGGCCTTTCCCATAGACAACCCGGGCCGGGGTCATTACCGCAACACCTACAGCTCCGGGATCTGAGTTGGCAGAACACTCAAAGAATGCAAAGCTGTTGCTCCCGGGTACGCATCCGGTCCAAGTTGACCGACAACCATGGAATGCGCCGTCTTCCACGAGCATTTGATAAACGGACAAAATGAGGAAAATCGCGGATGTAAAGAAAGAGCCAGCAAGAAACAGGGCTGTCTGTATTTACCAACCTGGGAAGATTGCTCAGCCCAGAATACAAAACGCGCAATGCACCACAAGGTTTACCGGCTTGGCGTGCAGCAGCTCTTCAACGTTGCACGCGTGCAGAGGCCCTCAGGTCACCATACCGCAGCTGTAATGAGAGCATGTTCTCAGACGTTGTTCTTGGCACTTTGTTGAGGAACCCAAAGTTTTGCATCATCGTACGGTATTTCGATGGTCAATCTAGAGCACTACCGCACTTGGACCCTTGCGCCTCTCTCTGGGTTTCTCATCAAGTTGTGGGACCCCTGTCGTCGATCAACCCCACAGCCGACTATAACTGGTTGTTTGTTACTACACTCGTTCTACAGAGTGGTCCTGTGGTATCTCACGCTGTCGCATCTCGCCAGATGCGACTTGCCAAGACATTTGAGAGAGGAAGGCCTTCGGTGACTACGGCGTCGACGGATGGACCTACTTATCCGCCTTAATGACGGGTTGACTTGGCTTTGGTATGACTGCGCCGTGACCCCACGACAGACTGCCATCAGTTAAGATTTGACAACTCCGCAACCCACAGCAATAACTTAGATTAGCTTTGATTTCGTTACATTATTGAGCTTCCATTCTTCGTCAACATACTGTCACCGGCAGCTTTACGACCAACAAAACGTCAAGTTTCACATCATTGTAAAGAATGAAGCAGAAAGAAACATGCCGGATTGGGAGTAGAAGGGTCGTGAGATCACTATGTCATGAGAGCAAAGCATGAACTTGAAACCCAATAGAATAATCCCGACGCCATGCCAAATTTTTATGATCCGATAGCCTCCAGTGGCCTAGTCTCCTAATACACTAAAGTAGTCCGGGTATTGTTCCATCTTAGACCTTGATGGCGTTGTCGAGAGCCTTCTGCTTCTTCTCGGTGCGCTTCTGGGCCTTGGCGCCCATAATACCACCACCCCACTGCTTGCGAGCGCTGTCGGTCTTCTCCAAGTATCCGTCCTTGATGGCGGAAACGAGCTTGGAGAGCTCGCTCTTGTCCTCGGAGCGGACCTCGGTGAAAGCGAGGACAGCGGCAGTCTACGACCAGTCAGTAAGCCGCGAGGACAGCATCTGTGACGACGGGGTAAATAACATACCTTCTTGTGGACGACGGTTCCAAGGCGGGCCTTGCCCTTGATGATGGCGAAGGGGACACCCATCTTGCGGCAGAGGGCGGGGAGGAAGATAACCAACTCAATGGGATCAACATCGTTGGGGATAAGGACGAGGGAAGCCTTCTTGTTCTCGATCAGGCCAACGACGTGGTTGAGACCGTACTTGACAGTGTAGGGCTTCTTGGAGACATCCTCCTTCTTCTTGCCGTCCTTGATGGCGGTGGCCTCCTTGACGAGACGCTCCTTCTTCTCGGCCTTGGTCTCAGGGCGGTACTTGTTGAGGAGCTTGAAAGCCTGGGCGGCGGTGTTGCGGTCGAGGACGTGCTGGAACTGGGCGATCGCAGGGGGGACCTTGAGGCGCATGTTCAAGATCTTCTTCTGGCGCTGAAGACGAACATACTCGGGCCACTTGACCATGCGGGCCAAGTTGCGACGGGGCTGGATGTCCTGGCCGATACCGAAGTTGCGGGGCTTGCGCTCGATGAGAGGGTTCTGCGATCATTGTCAGCCATCTACGGAACTGCGCGCGCAATCATGGAGAGAATATGTACTGACCTTAGGAGCCTTCTTGGAGCCAGCCTTTCCCTGGGGGAAAGGGGCGGGAGCCACCTTCTTACCGGACTTGGGAGGCTATCATTGAGAAAGCAAGACATCAGTGAATTGTTCAAAATCAACTTGTGTCTTCCTTTAACTCTAAGGAGAAGGACGGAGAAGTAATGGACGTGAATCCAATACTTCACCATCCCTTCCAGCCAAATCATCATCAACGGCCCGTCCCAGCAAGCAAGCTTGCTTAGGACCGACGGCCGAGACGGAAAATCGCAGTTCGCATAGCAGCGAGACTGGATGGAGATTGGCCTCGAGGGCAGATCAAGTCGTCTTCGTTCAATGTGTACTCACCATTTTGTCGGTTGTCGTGATACTGCCTTTGGCGGGGATGGATGAAGAGAAGGTCGGTATGCAGAAACACAAATTTCGGGAGACGAGGATAAGATGTTGTTGGTGTGGGCGGGAAAAATTGGATTAGGGCAAGATAGGGTGGGTACCCGATAAGAACATTTACGACGTGGGCGCGGAGGTACCTAAGGTAAGGTACCTTAGGAACCTTACTTGCATCGTATCGGGGACTTCGCACCGCTTTCTCAATAGCCTTTTCCACACGTGATGACCACTTTCCAACGATAAGTGACCTGAAGGCTTGAAGTTAGAAGGTCGCTCGGAATTGCCTTGACAGGGCCGACAGGGTACTCGACCCCACTACGAGGGAAGAATGTCACTTTCTCGGTGCAGCGGCGCCAGACAAAAAAAAAAAAAAAAGAGTTTATAGAGACCCGAGAAGAGGCCTCGTTCTTGGTCATCTTATTCACCACCATTGGACCGACTCTTGACAGTACCCATGACAAGTGTTTACGCCCATCCTGGATCAACCTTTTGCTGGCACAATTATCCATTGGCAGCTCGAGCGGGCAAGTTAGCAGGCAATGCCTAACGGAGACAGCAGGCGCAATACAGATAAGATCCTCGTCTCTTGTTTCCTCATAAAACCCAGGTTGACAGTCTTGTTATTCCTGAATACACCAGATTTACTCAGGAGGGATGCAAAGTTGTTGTAGCAGATGATTGCGATGCATGGCAAAGCGAACGAGGAATGTCTAAATCCCAGAGAGAAAACCTCGTCCCATTTCTGCACTACGGTAGATGACAGTGTCTGTGTGGTATCCTGCCCACTAAGTGATCGAAGATCCAGGCACGGAATCCCGCTTTGCGGTACGTACCTATGGCACCGACGATGATGACTCCAAGGCCATCAAAGCCACACGGCAACACATGCTGTTCTCAAATTTTCCTTAACCTCGATCTAGCAACGCAACATTCCTTTCTTCACTGATCCGAACCCCCAGTCCACTCTACCCCCGAAATACATCTTACGTGGAGAAGCTCACGCCCACGTACACTGCTTTCTCAACTATCCGGTTTAGCTCAGTTTTATCCTGTCCGATCTACCGCGGGGTATCAATTTCGAAGTTCGTCGACTCAACTGAGGTGACGACTTCTCCAGCGGAAGTGGCGCTAAATTTCCGCCGCTGACACGACACTATTTGTCCGGAACGCCTCTCCTCTCATCAGGGACCTACCTCTTTCTTCTGCGTGGTGCATCATTCAAGATGGCACCGGTGCTATGCGCAAAGTGCAAGACCGAGCGCGCTCTCGTGAAGCGGCCCAAGAACCACCAGAAACTTTGCAAGGCCTGTTTTATCTCAGTATTTGAGGAAGAAGTACATCACACCATTGTCTCTTCCTCATTATTTTCTCGGGGAGAACAGGTAGCTATTGGGGCTTCGGGTGGCAAAGATTCGACCGTCTTAGCAAGTGTTCTTAAAACCCTCAACGACAGGTATGACTACGGCTTGAATCTTGTGCTCCTCAGCATCGATGAGGGTATCAAGGGATACAGAGACGATTCACTCGAAACCGTCAAGAGAAATGCCGTCCAGTACGACATGCCCCTTACTATAGTAGGGTACGACGAGTTGTACGGCTGGACGATGGACCAAGTTGTCGAAGTGATTGGAAAGAAAGGCAACTGCACATATTGCGGTGTGTTCCGCCGACAGGCACTGGACCGTGGCGCCAGAATTTTGAACATTAAACATGTTGTCACCGGCCACAACGCAGATGATGTTGCTGAAACCATCCTCATGAACCTCTTGAGAGGAGATTTGCCACGGCTGGGTCGCAGCACAAGTATCGTCACTGGCGACGACACTAGCGATGTCAAGCGAAGCAAGCCCCTCAAGTATTCTTATGAGAAGGAAATCGTGCTATATGCCCATCATAAAAAGCTCGACTACTTCAGTACCGAATGCATTTACAGCCCCGAAGCTTTCCGTGGAACTGCTCGCACCCTGATCAAGAATCTGGAGCGGGTGAGGCCAAGTGCTATCTTGGATATAGTTCGCAGCGGCGAGGATATGGCTCGGCTTGTTGCAGGAGGATCGGGTAGCTCTTGCGCCTGCAAAGGAAGTGCTCCCCGTGTGGCTGAGGATGACTTCGTTGCTGGCTGCGGCTCGCAGCAAAGTAAAGGCCTTGAGACCGAAATTGCTCAACTGGATGCAAGCTTGAGCCAAACAACTCTGGCCAAATCTCAGGAGACAGACTTCACAACTGCTCCTTCACCTTCACCAAAGATTGGAAAGAAGATTCAGAACTCGTCTGAGACGCCCAGATCGAGACATGGCCAAGCACAGGCAACTCCAAATGCTCCATTACAGACATTGGGCAAGTGTGAGAGGTGCGGCTACATGTCTAGTCAAGCCATCTGCCAAGCCTGTCTGTTGGTGGATGGGCTGAACAAGAATAAAGCGCAGATTAGCTTATAGAGAAAATGAAATCATCATATCCCGAGCCAAAATTGGCAGACATGTACAATGTAATTCCGTGGTCCACCTCCCACCCCTGCCCTCGACGTGGCCGGCTCGATCAACTCAACAATCGCATAGACTACGACAGTAGTTCTGAGACTGAACAGGAAATAAAAGTCTCATTGGGTGGCTGAAGTGGATGATGAATAGTGAAAACCCCATGGTTTCCAGACAAAGTAGCATACATGTTTTTTTTTTTGAACCCCATCCTCTACGTCATACGCTTCTCCAACTGCACGATATGGTTAGCCAATTTTCAGCCATCTGTTGGAAACAAATACTTACTCTCCAGGGGTGGTTCAGTTCGAAGCCTGGAGGCGCTTCGTGGTTGGCAATCTGTCCACGCAGATCGCCTGTGAGTCTGCGATCCCGGTCCATCACTGTTATACCTTTATGTTAGCTTTCGATCGAACAGTAGGATATGCTTCCTGTCGATTGGACACGTACTTTGCTGTAAGAAAGCGAGGTTAGCAACGTAAATATCAAAATAGTCCTGGTTCACGAGTACTCACCCTATCCCACTGATCCAGGCCCCAACGAGGCTTCTTTCCGCCGTTTTGGATGCCCTTGATGACGTGCAGTCCGGTACCGGTGATACCGAACATCTATTGTTTCGTTAGTTTCTGTTGTGGAGGTTGAAGTCGTCTCGCGCCGGCGCAATGGCAATCGCAAGGTAGCTCTTACAGCAATCATGATTCCATAGGGAATCAGGGTTTCGAAAGGGACGGGCATGGTAGCGGATAGCCGTTCGGCTGAACGTCGTTATTCGTCGTTATGTGTGTACCGAGTATGCGCAAGGCTGACAAGAGACACAGCTTGCAGTCGTCGGTGTCTTCGGGAGACGTCGATGAATTCCGGCTTCCTTGAATTGACTGGCCAATTGATGGAAGCAATCCGCAAGTCGTCGGGTCCTCGGACTGGGTGTTTTGGGGTCACGTGATATTCCATTCGCGTCAGTGCTTTTGCGATCAGGATGATTGGCTGAGCATTATGAATGGTCCCGGCAGCTTGCCATTGGTCACTGGGGGAGTCTCCATCCATTGTTTCCGTCCCTGGCAAAGCCCCCTCCCCCAAGGGTGCCTTTTGCGAATTGAAGCTTACCTTAGGTACCTATGGCATGGAAGTTGGCAACTGGCTGAGCGGTACGGAGTAGCAAAGATAAGATACCCAGCGTGCCTACCTACCTTAGTGTGCTCAGGTACTCCGCGGACGGCAGTAGGGACCTACTTGGTACGTCTACTGCTTTAACGTCCCCCACCCCGTGACCCAGGTGCATGTCGCGCATACCTACCGTGGGAACCTCACCTTTGACCCTGTTGCGGACACAGTGCTCAATCGACCGATTACTGTACGCGCCACAGGTGTGGAAGTCGCATCCCTTGGTTTGCGCCAGTCTGTCAACTATCTGCGCCTCCGACAAGACGTGAAGGCCATTGCTGGCTTTCCTACAGTCGCGGAGGAACCTGTGTCAACCATCTAGCAACGCGTTAAGTCCTCTGCCCAGAGACAGTTTTCGATTTGTACCAACAACAGTGCATGTCTGCCGCGCATCGTCGCCTAAGGCTAAACGAAGGCTAAACGCGCTCACTTCTCTCAGCAACACTCGCTCACGACCAGCCGATTCACCACAATTGTGCGCCAGACTCGCTCGATTCTTTAACCTTCGTGCTAGCTATGGGCTGCGAACACCGAACTCTTGTCATCCACGGGCGGAATTCGAAGCAATAGCTCTGATAAACGATTGCAATCCGCAAACTCCTGCGGCCTTCGAGCCTCGTCGACAAGATGGCAAGCGCTCAACTCACCGAAGAAGAGCTGCAGCAGAGTGCTCTTCTTTCAGACGAAGATGCCGACATCGAAGACGCACTGGCAGTGCCCGTCGAAGAGTTGCCTCAGGATACCGAGAGTCCCTTGACGAACCCAAACACGCACGACGACGACCTTTCGGATGCGATCGGCGATGAAGACGATGAAAGAGACGCGCCTGCCTTGGACGGCGACATTGAAATGGCCGAGAATGCAGACGATAATAGTGAACTGTCCGAGCAGGACTCTCTAGAAGAGAACCTGGACGAGTACTCTGGCGTTGACATGGATCAGCGCCTGGAGCAAGACGATGGAGATGAAGCTTCGGGCGGTGCGCGCAGTCGCAGCAGCAGTTTGCTAGATGACATTGAGGAGGATGAGGCAGAAGGTGTTGGCGCTGTTAAGATCAGACCAGGCGAAACCGATGATGAGGACGCAGATGAGCCGGACAGCGAGCACTCGGAATCGCACAGTGAGTCTGGCAACGAATCCGAAGGAGGCGAAGCGTGGGACGA